TCTTCCGATGGTTTAATGTAGAAGATTTATGAGTTTTATGAGCTGAGAAACTAGATAACCATTTTGGTGAATATCTTCATAACCTTGATATTTTCAGGAAATGTGAACTTGTGAAATACTTACCCGCCTTGTTTAGCTCTTTTGGCTGTGTGTGATCGATGTTAGTAGGAGGGAGGCTTCAAATACCAATTTAAGATTGTAGCTTTTTTAGTAGGCATATATTTTTATATTTAACACCTAAACTATTTTTTATATATATTAAAAAAAAAAGGAATGACCAAAGGCTATTATACGAGTCTCTAGCCACCCCTAACGTGCCTAACAATTCGAGTACCACCTCTATAAAGCCAACTGTGCCAGAGGGGATTCGAACTCCCGATCTGAGAGATTTTATACCTTGGATGCCAACCAAAAGACTAGGGTACTCGACACACCTAAACTATTATATTTACGTTCACACCACCTAAAACTACCTAAAATATCAAATCTTCCACTACCTGAGATAAAGAATTAAGAAGTTCTTGAGTCCTGATGTGCCTTTATTGATTTGAAGAACTAATCTTTGAAGCAGAAAGTTTGCACTACCTTTGCAAAGCATGAGTTTGTCTTTGCAGATACTGTAGCATTAATATTAGAATCACCAAATTTTGATGTAGTTTAAAGTAGCTATCAAACTAATCTTTGAAACAGTAAGTAAATATAACTGTTTAGTAACACACTTAGAACAATAAAATGCTGTAAGGCAGAAACTTTTGACTGTCATAGACACCATCTAGCAATAACAGAAGAATAAAATATAAAAAAAAATTCTGGGAACAGATCTTCAACCAAAAAAAAAACAAAAAAAAAAACCTTCTAACTTCTTCACCACATAAAATTTTTTAATTGTTAAAAAATAAAATTTGTATTCTTCTGAGTGCTAATTGTCAAAAAGATCGATTCGCCATGCTCTTTACAAAACCTGTAATGCAATAGCTTCGCCGGCTTTGCAGGACTAATGGAAAATGTAGGCTGCGATGGGAGATTCGCTTGCCGTGTGTGAAGATTAGGTGAGAACAGAGGGGAATGAGCTTAATGATGGCAGATCGGAGTCTTACGGCTATGGTAGAAAATTTTAATTGATTAGTTGAACGTCTTATATCTGTAATATCAACATGTTTTATATGAAAATAAGTATATTTAAACTGGTATGTATGCAAATCCCCCTTTTAGTAATCTTTGGGGCCTAACAGTAAGGTTGTGTTAGTTGCCTATCATCCATGATGCATATAACCCTTTGTTTTTCAATCCTCAAACTTGAAATTATACTATTCGTTGAGCCCGAAAATGCGCTACGCAGACTTAGTTTCGGGTCATAATTCTCATAAATGTTACGCGATATGATCAAGATGGCCTAAAAAAAAAAAGAAATCATAGGATCATATCCATTAATAGTTATGATACCCTGCTTATGATTCGGGTTATAAGTGTTCTATGCATTCATTATATTTTTTCTTCCAAGTTTTTCAATCATATCTGCATCTCAAATTATTGCATGTTCTTTGTTCTTTCAAATTTCAGCTTATTTATGTACATGCTTTGTTGCTTTGAATTGCAGCTTTGGGGTTTCACGCATTCTTCTCGTTATCTCCTGTAATCAATCAGTTGTGAAGAGTTGCTTCTATATTGACGAGAGGCTATTATACGAGCCCCCAATCACACTTAATGTGCCTAACCACTCGAGTACCAACCTTCTTAAGGCATCGTCGCCAGAGGCGGATTCGAACCCCCGACCTGAAAGGTCTTACAATTGATTTCGTAGATGCCAACCAATAAGTCGGGGAATGTGGCACGGTTATATTATTTATCTATTTATTTAATTTCATTTATTCATTCATCTTGTTATTATTTTTCTAAAGTATTACCACACGAGTACACAGCCAAAAGAAGGTTATAATATGTTGGTTGAGTGTAGAAGAATTGGGTGTAACGCAATGATATTGGCTTATTGCTCTCTCTGAGAGTCAACACATCAAGACTATTGTGATATAACACATAGCTAAAGGTGAAAATAGACCGAGTTGAGTTCAAACTTACACATCAAGACTATTGTGATATAACATATTGTTTGAAATGCATTGGAAGGGTGGTGGCTAAAGGTGAAAATAGACCGAGTTGAGTTCAAACTACCTTCGATTTGAACTTGAGCTCGATTAATTAATCAAGTTCGAGCTTAGTTATGAGTTTGAGCTGGCTCATTAGCAGGCTTGTTTGATATAAAATGGAGAAAAAAATATTAATTCTAGTTAGTGTTATAATAAAATACGAGCATTTACACGCATAACACAAACTTTTAATATCACTTAAAAAGTAGTATTATTATCATTTTTTAGAAGATAAATACATAAACTGTTTAGGTATGAGATGTAAATTCAGAAGAGTTGTGTGCTATGTTTGTTAATTTCCCATTAAAATAACAAATAGAGGTTGAATTAGTAGACAAATACTAAATATTTTGATACTAAATATAAAATATTTTATTTAATTTATGGATAAATTTTTGAATCTTATTATATTTTGAGTGTTTTATACTAAAATTTTTATGAAAAATTAAGCAGGTGAGCTAACAAATCATGGTCGGCTTAAGCTTGATTTGTTAGTTTATTGTGCTCAGATTCATGAGTCACTTATTGAGTCGAGCTCGAGCCAGTTGGCTCACTCGTCAACTGGGCCCAATTACAACTTTAGCGGTGGCTTGGAAATTACTTATAATTTTATTGCTTATACTGCACATGAACTTAATATACCTTGAAAATGAATACTAATTCATAATTTTTATTTTAATCAGTGTTTCTAATTTTGGAATACATTTCTTTTTAGTAGGTAAAAAATAATGAATTTTTGAACGAAGATGCCTTATAGATTATTCATAATTTCTATAGATTAGGTTTAGGGTATTAACAAGAATGGCCAAAGGCTATTAGACGAGCCCCCAACCACCACCAATGTTCCTAACAATTCGAGTACCACCTCCTTAAAGTCAATTGGGCGAGAGCTGATTCGAACTCCCAACCTGAGAGGCCTTATACCATGAATGCCAAGCAACAGACCGGGATACGCGGCACACGTGCACGCATATATATGTCAAAGATATTCTTTTCAATCCGACCTGTCTTGTAGAAGAAATATTAAGAAAGTTAAAAGCACATCTGTGCTTTTGAAGAAATTGTTAGACCATTTTACCTATGCATTAAAAGACGAAAATGTGTATAGTGATATTTTTTATGTAATATAAAAAGTTCGAACGATATAAATATAAAAGATAAAATTTAGATGCTACATATATAAATACATAGGAAGTAGTGCAATTAATCTACTTAAAATAGTAAAAATTAAAAACTCATCATGTGTATGATTGCATTATTATGCATATGACCCACTAATCCTATGTATGATCTTTAATCAAGTGCACTATTTTTGTAAATTTTATTGAATATGTTCATCATTCAGTAAAAATTTAAATAGAAGTCAAACAATTCTTCATGTATTTTTATAGTTTAATCACAATTACAAATTAAATCTCAGTTATTTTACAAATATTTTTACTTAATTTTTTTTTTTTTGGAAGGTTTACACAGATATCACTTAATACGTTGTATTCACGAGAAAATATTAGGTCAGAACTCTGAATCATCAGGAGTCCAATAAGGAGGCGCCATGTGTAAAGTTGACTCATCACAATATACTGTGATTGGTCCACTACACGTGTCGCTTGTTTATTGGACTTTGGATGCATCCAAAGTCCTTATCTAGCACCTAAATATTAATTTTACATATATACCACCTATATTTCACTTTTTTAAAAATAAAGAAGATATTTTAGATAGATATAAAAGAGTTTGGGTATGAATCTAAAAATGGAATTTATGTGTTAGAAATGTAAATCGAAAGAGTAAATAAATAAAAATTAGGTGGCATGTATGTAAAATGCCTCTTTATTATTTCTTAATTATCAGCATAATCTACTCCACACCAATTAAGGAAAAATTATTAGATTCGAACTCCGAACGTAGAGATATGTTTGGAGTCCAATGAATCACCTCCACGTGGAGCTGACAGGAAAAAAATTCATTTTTTTGGATCCGGCCTGATAACACATGAGAGTATTCATCTCATGTTATTCCGCGTTATTCAAGTGTTATTATGATGATATTGATGCATTATTCTGTCATTACCAGAAATATTCTCAAAACACAATAATACATAAATTCCACCATAATAACACCTGAATAATGTGAAATAACAGAATAGAAATATTCTCATGTACTAAAATAAATTTTTTTTTATTTTTTTTCACCTCCATGTAGGGCTGTAAACGAGCAGAGCTTGAGTGAGCTCAGAGTTGACTCGTGTTCGGCTCGTTCGAAATCGACTCGTGTTCGAAATCGGCTCGTGAACAATGTGTACGTGTTCGGCTCATGTTCGAGCTCGAAATTGGCTCGTTAAATTAAAATTGAGAAAAATATATGTAAAGTGTGAGATTCGAACCTGAATCAAATCTATACAAAAAAAGACAATAACCACATTATCACATAAGGTGTTATGATTTAAATTTAAACATAAATATATATAATATATTATTATATAAATAATATATGTAATATATTGTTATATAAAAAAATTATATAAATTTCTTTTTGAAAATATTTCGAGTATAATACGAGCAAACACGAGCGAACAAATTATTATTCGTGTTGGCTCGTCTACATTACGAACGAGCCAAACCAAAGCTGCTCACGAAAAAAAATATTTCGAACATAACACGAGGAACACGAGCGAACAAATTATTGTTCGTGTTGGCTCGTCTTCATTACGAACGAGCCAAACCAAAGCTGCTCACGAAAAACGAGCCAAATTGACGGCCCTACCTCCATGAGCCAATTTGCTCCCAATTAAGAGCGTCTATATGCAGAGAACTGGTAATAACTCTCGTTGGCCCGACGTCTCACTGTCGACTGTCGAGCACTGCCATTTCCTTTATCTGGAAGCTCAATTTTACGAGATTTCGGCTTTCAGGGCTTCCATTTGGAGGTATTCGAGCCACTCCTGTCGTAGATTTGCTCCTCTTGCCAGAAATGTATGTTTTTTTTTAATCTTGATCTCTTCTTAGGTTTTAGCAGCGTTTGCCGTGGATTATTGTTTCCGTTCGTTGATTTGCTTACGATTTTCTTCGCATTAAGGTGTTATCGATCATTGCAGATCTTGGATTACTTCCATAAGTAGATAGCTGAGCAAAATTTTCGCTGTTTTACGATCTTCTTTGTGCTTTTTTTTTGGTATAAATTTAGGTGAAGTATTTTGAAGTAATGCTATACGGATCATGAAGTGTTTGGGTTATTCAGTTTTTAAGGAAGGATTTTTTTTTTTGGATTGGATTCTAGCGGTTGATATACGGTTTGTGTATTTTCTTTAATTTGCAGATATCAGGGTTAATAGATACGCCTGAAAAACATGGTGAAGGACACGCAGTATTATGATATATTGGGAGTGGGAGCTGATGCATCTGCCGCTGAGATAAAGAAGGCCTATTATATCAAGGTGATATGATTTTTATTTAAATTTTTTTTTTTTTGCGCTTGATTTTCCTTTATTTCCGAGAAAGATGACGCTGTTATAAATGAACAATGAAGCTAGTTAATGATTTTTATGTGTTAGGACTAAAATCAGTGAATCGTTGTCACTTTTTTGAGCTTCTTATGGTCTTTCATTTGTTCTCACTTGCTTTATATATTGTGACTTGCCCCATGGACATTAACATGAGCACCATGATGTAGTACACTATTGGATTGTGTGTGTCCAAACATGCCTTAAACTTGGGGTTGGCTTGGCTTGAAGAGAATTGACAACATTAAGAGGGCTAAAGATTGAGAATCGTTCGGGATCTAGAAGCATCCTCCTAGGAACCACAGTAAACTTGCCAAGGCTGTTAAAAAATTACCTGAAAAACTTTCTGCCATGGGACTTGGTCAGATTAATTCGTTCCATCTTATCGGTCCTAATGACAAGAGTTAATCACCTACATGTTGCTGAGGTCAGTGACTTCATCAGATAGTCGGAAATTCCATTTATGGACCCACGACTTCACGTGCCTAATCGGTGATGCTTTCATCAACTCGCCAATGCAATTGTAGTGTTTTGATTGTTATGTCTACATGTTTATAACAATTGTATCATATAAATATTTAGTCATTTTATTATGAGTTCATGTTTAGATCCTAGAAACTTACAAATATAGGTCAAAAGACAATTTCATAGGAGGGATTTACTTTTGGCATTTTTGTGTTGTTAATAAAAAATCTCTTTATCACGCTTTCTCTCTCTCTCTCTATTTATTCTTTCTCTTTTAATTGTTCTCGCTCTTTGATTTTCTCTTTTTCTTTTTGTTCCGTGAGACATTGGAAATCTTGTAAGTAGGATCTTGATATTTTCACAAGTAAATTTAGATTTAGCATATCGAAAGGCATGGTGAGCATGATTTAGCTCCTAGAACTGAAAATTAAGTTCTACGAGAATTAGACTAACAATACATAGAAGTATATGTGAATATGTAGGATTAAAAGTTCATGAATAATTTGATATATGTTTTGCAAAGATAGAGGAGAGGATCATGAAAATGATGTGAGTTTTGGACTGTGCTCCTAGAGCCATTTTGAAGGTGAAGAATGCTAGAAGACTCTTCAGATATTATACTTGATGACTATCGTCAAGCGCCATAGCATTGACCTTTACATCAACTATAAAGGAAATTTACCATCTCAGCAACAACAGAAAAACCACTCATTTGCACTAGTGAGTTAAGAGGTCATGGCTAGGAAACACATTTTGCTGGGATATTATAGAAGAGAAACTTCTAACGAACTTGAAAATTCCTTAATTGAATCATGAGGGAAGGATGAATTTTGCTGATCATGTAGCCTACTTAGAGGCGGTTATTTCACTATTGAGTATTAGAGACACACTAATGTGTTTTTCTTTTTATTTTTTCAAATCACCTTTATGGTGATTCTCTATCCTCTCATTGGGAGTAATCATTTATTTTGTTGAGTTCAAAAGACTCCACTTCACCAATGTCTAGAAGCCACCAGAAAAATTGTTTGCTCTCCTGAAGGTGAGGTAAGATTCTAGTGCGTCGTTAAGAATTATCATCGTGACATTTTAATGAGAAATGCTAGAAGTCAAATATTCGGTATCCATAGTCACCTATGCCGTTTTACCCAAGACTTGTGATAAAGACCTTTCAGGTATATGCTATAAGCCTACAACAACTGAATATATTGGCGGAGTTTCTCAAACTTGATAATTGCCAAATCAATGCTAAAGATTATATTGTGTGGTTGAACCCTCATCCTCAAACTGTTCGAGAGATGCCTTGGCAAGGCGAGCATTAGATGGTGGGTGACGACAAAGATTGGAAGCCAATTATGGGATGGAAATTGGTGTTGTAGTTCTCATGCCAGGATAGAATACTAGTGTTCACGAAGTCAGAGCGATGTACAAACAAGTAAAACACTAGAGAAAATTGATTGAAACTTCCAAGAGGGTTAAAAAAACTCGGATATCCTTTATGAATTCAATCTTTTCTATCAAATTTTATTCAAAATTATTAGTAGCAAGGCATTTTTATAGATTAGTAGCCGGGGTTTTCACAGGTTGTATTGAAATACATCAAATTGGCACCTTGAATTGGACAATCTAAATTGCTCCCTTATTTTAGAAAGTGATTCGATCAAACCATTAGGTTAGTTTATGGCCGGCGGTTGCCTCCTTGAAATGGTTTTTGGATCCTTGAAATGGGCGGTGGTTGCCCCTAATTGGTGGGTATTCTTTATCATTTGAATCTCTGAATGACATGAACCTAACAAGTTCTAATTATCGAAATTTCAATGATTGGATTGTACGAAATTATTTTGTCCTGTAGGATTTAATTTTATGGTCATTGGAAAGTATCGACGATAGGCAACGATTTAGTATGAAATTATTCTTCTTGATGAGGGCAAAACAAGTGATAGTTTGTAAATTGGAGGTCTGTGTTATTCATAATAATTTAATTATTTTTTAAAAAATTTGTTGTGTTGTTGGAATTGGTGAAGCAACTATCAATTTTATGGCAAAATGTGTGTTTCTCTGCAAGTAATCAAATGTAGTGAACGACTCTTAATTTTTTTTTGGGCGGAGGTTAAAAAAGTTTTGAGCAGTTTAAGCTTCTAAATTTTTTCTAACAAATTGTGTGTGATTTTAATGATTTCATCACAATTTATTGGCTCAAGTGGCTGCTATTGAGAATTGTTTTTGAAAATAGACTTTGGTGCGGTTGGTGTGGTAACGAGGGTCTGTAACGGTTTTATTGAGGGATGCGATTATGGGGCGCATTTGGAAAATTTATCATTTTTAGTCCTTTGATTGCCCATAAAATTTGGTTCTATACAATATTTGGCTTATTGGCATTGCCTTCTCTGGACACTTATTTTGACTGTAAGTACTTGCAAATTGGAATTTGTTTGTCTCCTTAAATAATTTTTCAAAACTTTTAGTTGTGAACTTGAGTGCACTTTCTGATGTCTTTTGGACTTGATTTGAATGATTTTCTGTAAAAATAGGATCATCTTGATGAGTCAATTATTTTGACTATAAGTTTGCTAAAATCAGAGTTAGTGTAATTCAAAAATTATTTCTTAAAAGGGGCATTTACATACATACCCACAAGTCTTATGTATCTACATATCTAACCCTAAAAATTTTATATTTTCAAGAATATTACTCAAATTTCTAACATGACATAAAAATACCACTATCACTAATTTTTTAAAAGTGAAATACATTTTTTCATGCATAGATTTATAACACCAAAGTGTTATAAATGTAAATATTAAACTTTAGTTGTTGACATGTTCTACATAAGAATTGTGTAGTATTTATATAAATTATCCTTTTTAAAAATTTTGGCAGTATAATTCGAGTATTTTTTGTGTTCTAAAGGGGCAATAGATCGATTCATCGAATCATGACATATTGTTGACGGGGAGTCGCATAACATCTCTTCTTTTGATTTCTCCATGTGGTGCGTGCATGGTTCAAAGTTCTAGAATTTGATATAAATTTGAGATTTTGTTTCTTCTAAAAAATTGGTCCAAAATGTGTATAAATTGAGCCAATTTTTGGGTTGCATGTAGGCATTATAACCCTTTGTATTGGAATAGACTAGATTGTCACCTTGAGTTGATGACCCAATTTGTCTCCTCATCATTTGAAAAAAGCAAGTTAATGATTCCGCCCCTAGGCTGATTTGATGGGCACATTTTTGTTATGGTTCATCGAGGCGATCGATTGATAATTAGTGATCATTGTCGGACAACATATAATTATTATTGAAATATATTGATAATGGGTAGTGATTTTTGGATGAAATCATTCTTCTGAACGAGACAAGATTAACACCAAAATTGAGGGTATGATGTTTGTGTTACCTCCTCTGAAGCCCCAATATATCATAATACTCTCTTCTTTTTGCCCCGGGGCTTAGCTTATGTTCTGGATTTCTAGCAGTCTTCCCTTCTTGTTGTAAAACCTTTTGTTGTAAAACTTTTGCCTAGGAACAAACCTCTTCTTTTACCCTATGCCGCCTTACTCTTAGAGAGAATTTAGGAGAGGGAAGTTTGGCTACTTGACATAGAAAAGAGAGAAATTGGTAGGAAGGAGCGTAGAGAGAAGTATATGGAGACTAGCTAATTTTCATTCATTAATGAATGAAAATTTCTAATACAAACTAGTGATTATAGGAAAAGACGGGATAAAAACATACTTGGCACTTCAAATATTTCTATTTACAAATTTCACACGTCAACCTTTTAAATTATATATTGAATTCCCAAATCATTTTTATATAGAGTTCGGAACTCCATGAAACTTGCTAGATAATCTCTCAAACTTTAGTTCTTGGTGCAGTAGTCTTTTTCTCTTCTTTTGCATCTCGCTAAGGCCCAAATAATTAAGGAATTTGTACTTTAAATTCTTAATTAACATTCGTCTTTTCAAATTTTTTCTATCCTATTCTCTTCCACTCCTTGATTCCTTCTCATTTTTATCTATTTATACATCATATTTCTCTTCTTCCATTTCTAAGATTTTCAAAAGTTTCAGTGTGTTATATAATCCGGCTCAACATAATTTGAGATAAGGAAATGCCTTTAGAAACGAGAATCACTGCGTTGCTGGCTACTGGCGATGACCAACGAAGTGCTCCAGTGGTCGATCTTCGACATCCTTCGAGTTCTTGTCCTGCCATGGCCATGTCCCTCGTCTCCTTGCTCTGTTTCTTAATGGATAAGTTGTTGAGAGTTATGGTAATAAGAGAGTTTTATCAGGTTTATTTGGTAAAATGTTGTAACCCCTATTTAAACATATGTTGAATGAAATACCTAATGTTTGGCTTATTTACTTCCAAATTGGTGTCAGAGCCAAATCGTAGCCACTATCTTCTCCCTATCTTCAAGTTCTGCCGCATCGATCGCATCACCCATCGCTCCCTATCTTCATCCTTC